TGGAACTGAAATGCCAATAGTCTAAACCTAGTGCAACAGGTGATCATGATTCGTATGGGGATCACAAACAATGATGTGTCGTCCATGTAGTGATGATAGAAGACAATAAAGGCGAATAAGTGTTGCAGAGAGCCATGTTCAAAAGTTACAAGAAGCAAATCTGTAAATAGTGGTCCTAATGAGGACCCCATCGCAACACTACCTGTTTGGTGATAAGATCTTCTGTTAAAAGAGAAACTGCCTGTTGAACATGCAGCGTAGGATTAGCTTTTGGCGTATTGAACTGGGATACCGACAGCGATATTTTCTCCCTTAGCGGCTTACTGAGATAATTGACAATATTTATTAGTGGAATGTTCGAGAAGAGGGATTCTAGGTTGAAGGATAGCATCTATCTGTCCTTCAGGTTTAGATCTTCTGTTCGTTTAATGTATTCGAACGTGTCATTTCCAATGTAGCTTGATACTTCCTTGTGCAGTGGCTCAAGTAGTTCTACTAACCATTTGACAACTGAGTGTTTAGCAGGCACTGACGTATCGACTATCGGGCGTAGCGACACGTCAGCTTTGTGTACTTCTGGTACTCCATGTAGGCAAAGTGGTGCTGTTTGGTATCAAACATAACCGAATCCAAGTAGCCACTTCATCCAGACCGACGCGTACTTAATTTTTCTAGAGCTCAATTGAACAAACTACGATTTGGGGCCCTTTCGTTAGGACCGAAATTTTGTTCGTCACAGCCAGGCAGGTGGAAGTTGCACTTGGAGATACATTCTGAAATTTTGATGCATCCGTTGATTGATTTGACACCAACTTCTTCCCTCGCCGGTGACACTTTCAAAACCACTCTGGTGTACCTTTCTCAACAATACCAAAGCTACGGGCCGCAGTTCACAAAAATAGTTACTAGAAGACATCAAGAAGCAGTCAAGGAACTGACATCCAATCCTGAGATCATACTTTAACGACCGGAGAAGGATCGGGTTGTGTACTAATGAATAAGTTGGATTACATGTCGAAGGTATAAGCGATCTTGAGTGACTCAGGCAAATTTACACTGGTCCCGATACAAAAGGATAGCAGTTTGCAAGAACGGGCAAAATTAGCAGATTGCTGCAAGAACTGAAGCGCTGTAACCATATTGGTCAGGCTTTACTTAGCCGGCCAACTCCGTGCGGCTCGTAGGCACTTTGCCTACATGGAGTGTCAAAAGTACACAAAGCTGACGTGTCGCTACGCCCGATAGTCGATACGTCAGTGCCTGCTAAACACTCAGTTGTCAAATGGTTAGTAGAACTACTTGAGCAACTGCACAAGGAAGTATCAAGCTACATTGGAAATGACACGTTCGAATACATTAAGCGAATGGAAGACCTAAACCTTAAGGACAAGTAGATGCTATCCTTCAACCTAGAATCCCTCTTCTCGAACATTCCACTAATAAATATTGTCAATTATCTCAGTAAGCCGCTAAGGGAGAAAATATCGCTGTCGGTATCCCAGTTCAATACGCCAAAAGCTAATTCTGCGCTGCATGTTCAACAGGCAGTTTCTCTTTTAACAGAAGATCTTATCACCACACAGGTAGTGTTGCGATGGGGTCCTCATTAGGACCACTATTTACAGATTTGCTCCTTGTAACTTTTGAACATGGCTCTCTGCAACACTTATTCGCCTTTATTGTCTTCTATCATCACTACATGGACGACACATCATTGTTTGTGATCCCCATACGAATCATGATCACCTGTTGCACTAGGTTTAGACTATTGGCATTTCAGTTCCATGTCGGAATCTAATGATTTTTATTTATTTTGCATTTACCATCCTATGGGTCTTGTAAAGCCAATGCTTTTTATCCCATCATGCACTATTTAACTGCTATTGAACTATTTAACACGGCCCATCCGTCGTTAAACTTTACTTGCGAGACGGAAGAGAATGATACATTGCCATTTCTGAACCTATTGCTACGGCGCAGAGATGATGGGTCCCTTGAACGAAGGGTTTATCGGAAAGCAAGTTGTGACGATAATACGCGTAATTTCTCAGTTTTATGCCAATGAAGTACAAAAGAAACCTAGTGCATAGTCTGTACTATTGCGTCACCGAAACCTGCAACCCAGCGACGTTGGAATACGAAGGGATTTCATCGTCAAAAAACTGGGAATCAATGGTTACCCCACGGCATTCATCAAAAAGTCTTATGTAGTTCACGCCTCGTCGTGCTTCTGCTGCTGCTGCTGCTGCTGCTGCTGCTGCTGCTGCTGCTGCTGCTGCTGCTGCTGCTGCTGCTGCTGCTGCTGCTGCTGCTGGTGGTGGTGGTGGTGGTGGTGGTGGTGTTGGTGGTGGAGTTATTTGTGGAGTGGGCTATCTGATTGTGTTGTTGTGGTTCAGCGTATACAGGAACATTAAGGTGTTTGTAAATCATTATGCATCATCCCTAGTGTCCTTGCACGTGGATGCAGAAGATAAAAGCTCTGCTTGGACCAAAACAGAACTCATGGCACGAGGTGTAACAAAAAAGGAAGAAAATTCCTGGAAGCTTGGTTCTCAACGAAGCACGCAATCAATATTCTTCTCGACATCGATGTAATTTACCAAGCGGTTAAAAAGAGAAATAAGGAAAATTCTGTCACACGTTTGAAAGCACAACAACTCGGTGCCGCCTTCATTCATGGGGAAAATGGGTAGAGGTCACGTGACTACAATCGAGGCTGGCACTTTAAAATATCAATTGCAGACTGATCAGACACCGAAGATTCATTCAGTATAACTTATGAGCAGAAGGATTTTGGTAAGTGTTTTTGTTCTTCGCGATCAGCCGACAATTCAGCTTAGTCAACTACCTTTTCGGAAAAGCACCAGACGGACGTTTCGCCTTATTGGAGTCAGTCAGTGGTACGCACCCTTCGGTCCTCGAAGGAGGATTGAACCCATGACTGCTATTGACTTTGCCAACTAGCCCACAGTTTATGCGATTGCACCATGGTGGATGGTAGCCGGCCAGCACGAATTGTTAGCTGACTGCGATATAGCCCGACCCATCCTCCACTGCCATGCAGGCATCTGCCATACAAGCACCTGCCATGCAGATGACAGCGGTTGGCCTTCCGGCGTCAGCAATTCCCGGTTACGGCAGCTATGGATCGACATAGCATCAATGGAATTCGTAAGGGCGAATTTGTATTACCGGATAGGTAGTTGAATTAGCTGAATTGTCGGTTAATCGCGATGAACAAAATATTCACGAAAATCCTTCTGCTCATAAGTAACACAAATTCGCCCTTACGAATTCCCTAAATGCTATGTCGATTCTTAGCTGTCGTAACCGGGAAGTCCTGACGCCGGAAGGCCGACCGCTGTCATCTGCATGGCAGGTGCCTGCATGGCAGTGGAGGATGGGTCGGGCTATATCGCAGTCAGCTAACAATCCGTGCTGGTCGGCTACCGTCCTCCATGGCGCAGTTGCATAAGCTGCGGGCTAGTTGGCAAAGCCACTAACAGTCATGGGTTCGATCCTCCTTCGAGGACCGAAGGATGCGCACCACTGACTAGCCCCAATAGTGCGAAAGGGCCGTTTGATGCATTTCCGGATAGGTAGTTGACTAAGCTGAATTGTCGATTGATCTCGACTAACAAAAGATTCATTCAGTAGGAATGCACGCGGCATCTCACTGCATTGAGAATGCCACCTCGCTGATGTTACCACACCTGGCGTGAATAATGAAATTATACGGGTAAAGAAGCGTTGCTTTACTAGTCCCTTGGAAAGTTGGTGGAGATATCGACAGTACAGTAATTATAATAATGATAGTACAGCAAATATTACTTCAAATATGAACATAAGGACTGATCGTTAGCTCCGCCGCAGATCTGCGATCCGCTTAGATTCACAGCACCCACAGTTAATCTTAAATAACTCCATGGCAAACTCCAGATGTAGGATGGAGACATAATGCTAAGTGACAAAGTGTAAGTGGATGAATGCATCATCCAACCGTCATTTAAATTCTGCTAGTTCGGTTCAGAGACGACCGATTCTGGGACAGCATTCCACGGGTGACAGACACCAATGGAAAAGAAATTTCTGCGGCACTCCAGACAACCGTATCGTTCTGCGAGTTTTAATGAGTGGCCCCTCAGGTTTGTATTGCTGCTGAGTTGCAGTAAAGGGCGGCACACATAATGTGGGTCTCGCAGCATCAAGTATGCCATAATCAGCTCGCCTCGTAGTCTGCGATAGCTTCCACTGAACAATCCCAATCGCTGCAGCCTCTCCTGGTATGAAAGATTGTGCATTCCGATTACGTTCTTAGATGCCCGGCGTTGTGGCTGCTCCAGTGCATTAAGGTTGTGGTTCAGCCATGGATGCCAGGCTTGAATTGCATATTCGACATGGGGGCGAACATACGCATTGAGCATTTGTCGAAATATGGACCTGTTTATTTATCCAAACGCTCACCGCAACAGCCCGACGTGTTGGTTCCCGGTCTTCGAGGCCTTTTCGGATTGCCTGGAGCAACCCAAGTCATCTTGAACCAGGACACCCAAGTCCCGTTCGAGAGTTGGTCGTTGTAGCATGTTCGTTCCGAGGCGGTATGAGCAGCTGCCCTGATGTCGGATGGAAAGCACCTTGCATTTACTGACGCTGAAATGCAATACGTTTTGGGTCGACCATTGATATTCCGTATCTCGGTCACTCTGAAGCAAATCTTGGTCGGCGTTCGCCTGGATCCTGCAAAAGATCTTGATATCGCCGGCAAACATTAAGAAGTTTGAAGCGATTCCCTGTGCAAGGTCAGTGATAAACACCAAAAGCAAACGTGGACCTAGAACTGAGCCTTGCAGCACACCACACTCGACTTGCATGGTCCAATAAAGGGATTCGAACTCTGACCACCAATTGTCTTTGAAGTAGAGAGTTGGCAATCCAGCTCAAAAGTGAGTTGCCGAAGCCGTAATGCTGGAGCTTAGAGAGTAGTATCCGATGATCTAGACGATCGAAAGCCTTCGAAAATGCCAGATCACATCAACGCCTCCTCCAATGTTAACTGACTCGGTCCAACTACTGCATACAATTAGGAAACTCGTTGTGCATGGCCGCTGTCGGTGGAAACTGTGCTGTTCAGGAGTGATGAGGTTGCGGTTTTTCAGATAGCACACCAGTGCACCGGCAACTATGGATTCCATGACTTTGGAGAGTATAGGACGTAGGGATATTAGGCGGTAGTTGGAGAGATCAATTCTGCTTACACATTTGTAAATCGGGGTTATTATTTCAAGCTTCCACATAGCGGGAACTTGCTTCTGATCTAAGCAGCGCTGAAAAAACTGAGCTATATGTCCTGTCCGTTGGCTGGCTGCTGCTTCCAGTGTCACTGAACGAATGGTCTCCACACTCAGTGAGCTGTGTTTATGTAGAGACGTCAGTTTCTGCAATACTACCTCCGAATGAAAGGGATATTCATTAGCCCTGGAGAGACGAGGTTTGCAACCAAAGCGCCAAGCTGGGAGAACAACTGTTGCAAGTTTATTCCAAGGTATTGAAAAATTTCTCCGGTTGCGGTTAACTCAGAATTCGCCTAATTAGAGCTTGTTCACTGGATCTTGTTTTCACCGACGAGGAACATATGATTGGTGTATTGATCGTAGAATGCCTTTTGGGTCGCAGTGATCCTGTACTCATCAGTTTCGAGGTTGTCCGCTATGCGGAATATCACAAACAGAACCCTGAGTTGGTGCGCACAATTACGCGCTAAGACCGCTTAGCCCAGCTCGTCAATACCACACCCTGGTCGTCTCACACTGAAGGCCATCCGGAAATCGCTTGGCCTGAATTCGTTAGCAAATTCTACCAACTTGTAACGGAGGCCTCAGAGACAAGGGTTTTCAATGGGCCAAAAACCGTTTCTTTCGTGAGGAGCAGAAGTCGAATATTGATGAATATACGCAACGCAGACTGGCGAGAGTACAGATCATCTCCAACGCCAGGTAACTGGGACAAATGCGTAGCACATCGCAATCACTGCATTCAACTGCTCAGAAATGACAAAGTCGCATATTAACAGAATATGACGACAACTTTCAGCGCTAACCACAAAATACTGTACAAGTATGTCTATGGCCATCGTAACGTGAGGCAGGGAATTCCTCTGCTCCGGATGATTGATGGTCCAACCGAAACAGCCACAGAAGCAACAAAATGGTTACGGACACCATATTCTCGCACGTTTGAGAGTGTCTTATCATCAGACCACCTACCAACTTTCGTTTTCCCGCCTGCAGGAGTCACCCACATCTCTTTAACTGCCGAAGCTTTTTGCGGAAGCTGACGCCCCTGCGCAAATACAGCTCCCCGGGAGTCGACACCATTCGCCCAGAGGCACTTAGAACAGCAGCAAGACAACTGGCCAAACCTTTGGCACCGTTTTTTCAGCACTGCTTAGAGTAGAAACAGATTCGTGTGATGTAGAAACTTGGAATACTAACTCCGATTCACAAACGCGGAAACAGGACTGAGTCCTCAAATTACCGCTCAGTGTTTCCTCTCCCTGTATTTACCAAAGTCATGGAATCCATAGTTGTCGATGCGCCGGTGTGTTATCTAGAAGATTGTAATATAATTGCTCCCGAGCAATGCGGCTTTCGTCGAGGGCGATTGTGTACAACGAATTTCTCAATCACGCGGAGTAGATGGACCGGGGCAGCTGACGCTGGAGAGGATGCTGATGTGATCTACTTGGATTTGTCGAAGGCGTTCGATCGCCTAGATTATCGGATTTTCCTCTCCAAGCTCAAGCATTACGTGATTGGTGACCCTCTCGTGAGCTAGATCGCCAACTTTCTCCTGCAAAGACAATTAGTGATGCCAGTCCGCAGTTCCCTTTCAGAACCCATACCAGTCGAGTCTCGTGTGCCCCAGTGCTCAGTTCTAGGTCTATGGTTGTTGTTGGCATTCACCAATGACCTTGCACGGAATATCGCTTTAAATTTCCTGCTATTTGCTGACCAGAATAAGACATGACGTCGGATTCAGATGGATGCCGATCAGAATTTACTTCAGTGAAACATAGATATGGTACAGGAGTGGTCAAGCCGAAACCTGTTACAGTTCAATGTGGACAAATGCAAGGTACTATCAATACGACATCGGCGTACCTACTCATACAAGTTAGGAACACAAGCACTGCAGCAGTCATCCGTCAAACGTGACCTTGGTGTGCTTGTTCAGGATAATTTGGGTTGTTCCAAGTAATCCACAAAGGCTACAAAAACTGGTAAAAAGCACGTCAGCTTGCTACAACGAACAAGCGGACCACTAGACACCAGTATTTTCAGACAGGTGATGAATACGTACGTTCGCCCCCATGTCGAATACGCATTCCAAGCCTGGTGGCCATGGCTCAAAAGTGATCATACTGCCCTGGACCTACCTCAACGTCTGGCTTCTAAATACGTCATTGGAATGCACCACCTTCCGTACGAGCAGAGACTGGAACGTAAGGGAGTATTCAGCGGGCGATATCACCGACTATGAGGCGACTTGATTATAGAGTATTTAATTTTATACAATCCAAATCATGTGTGCCGCTCTTGACTGCAACACAGTAAGAACATCAAACTTAGATGTCACTCCTTGAAACTAGCAGAACAATACAATCATCTGTCGTGCCATAGAAACTTCTTTTACGTTCATGTGTGTCAAACATAGAACGCACTCCTCAAATTTGTTCTTTCAGCACACACGCTAGCCATATTTAAAAATCCATTGGAGGACGCATTCCGCCAATTGCATTTTATTACTTAACGGTACTCTTCATCATACTCCCAGGAAATATCTTGGATTTACTTTTGTCGCCTATTGAAGCTATGGACACACTCGGAGTGCAGTGCTACTGAGTCATAAACGATCAGTCCATTGTTTCGACAGGAAAATTATTAACCACTTTCTCATTAGCGTTTTTCATTAACCCATCAGACCACCCATCGAGGCTTGTAAAGCAATGCTTCTTAACCCGTATAAAATCATTGTTCATAGAGATTTGCTCACATGAAGTGTTTGATAGTTTAAATTATTTCTTAACCTATGTTACCCAAAGTAGACGTCGATGCGCTCCAATTAATCTTTTGCTCAATGGACGAAAAAGATTAGTTAGAGGAAGAGCGCTTATTGCTGACGGAGTCCAAAAAGCAGGTAATCCTCTGCGAATGTCCACTCCGAGTTGAGGGTTTTGTTCGAGGTGCCCTACCTCTAGTTTTTGGCTCAACAGTTTGAGTTACAAAGCAGTGGGGTACATAGAATTTTGCCTGAAGGACTCCACCAGAAGCCTTTCTCAACAGCCTGATTCACAAGGCAGTGGGGTGCAGGTCCAGCTCAGGAGTGTGATTGTAGGGACCGATTGTGATCTCCTTGAGGCCTGTCACACGAACCTCTTGAAGATTTACAACAATACACATTAGTTTTATCACCGTTGTATGTTACGCACCTGCAACCACGGCCAGCCGCAGTTGGCAGTTGGTGGGTTTGCATCAGTCTGACCAGGTGTGTTCGCGATTCAACAGACGTGTTTATTTCGCCTTCTGTGAGTTTCGCTAGAACCCATTAAGCTACAATGATGTGCCAGTGACAGTGACCACAAAGCGACGGTCGAGATGAGCGAACAACGAGCTACGATATGGCCCACCTCAACCTTCATGTCAGCCTTTGCGAAACCCTGTGGTAATCACGCAGGTGCAGTGTTGCACTTCCGATGCACCCGAAGAACGTGTTCTTCTTCGGTAGCGGGATGCTGAACATCCAGCAGCTCAGAGTGAGAAGCCTCATTTTGAGACAACATACCGGATGCGGTTGATTACAACTGATCGTCATGTAAGATTGTATTTCATCTGACAGTTTGAGTTCCAGGTCATTCGTCTTGAGTTGTTATAGTAATTGTCATGGATATTTTGGTGGCGTGTATTGAGGCAGCTGGATACACCACACCTTGATGCACGGAACGTAGCGAATAGATTGAACTGCCTGAGACGACCGTGCGGATTGCACATAAGGCGAACGAGTTTCGACATTCGACAACTGCTCTCGCTTCGACAGCTAGCTAGTTTAAACTGGTCAACTAAACAGGTAGGACCGAATGCCTTTTACGGATGTCACCAAGGATGAAGTTGTGCCCCCCCCGTAAATCCAGATTGAAGAGCGTTTTGCGATAAGTTGAGCTACCGCACAGGATAGATGCTGTTGGTACACTTATGAATCATCTGCACATTGGTATGCTAAGGGCGCGCTCGGCTTTCGGTGGACTTTGATATATAAGCTGTAGAAGACCCATTACGTGACCACTGGACCCAAACTGATGATGTACAGGTCAGTGCAACTGTCACTTCTAAACCGTTGCAAAAAGTGGATGCCTATGTAAGGTATTTGTTAGCCGGATCGATATCATTGACGGCTGTTGCGGTGGATCTTGAGCGTCATTGAGTGTTGGATGCTGATAAGGGGTAATTCCATTTTTGAGCCAGCGAAATCGTAAGGTAAAAAACAGGCTTGGCATCACCAATGCGCTAAATGATTTCGCTCATGACGCTATCCGCTCTCATCTAAAATTTGTTTTCAACCATTAGACGGTGTATTCGAATGGAGATTAATGTTAAGCAAGTAAATAAATAGTTTATTCTCGGAACTGTGGTGCACGAATGCATATGCATGATCATGGTGAGGAAGGCATGTGCCGGACAACAGGGGCATAAGCTGATCGGAAAAGTTTGCAAGCCATTCCAATATACTGAGCTGGGAGAACACATGCACCACAATGGAGTGGAATGGACAGCTTGTGCTGATAAAAGCAACACGTGCCAGTGTCGCCGGATCAGATGTTTAGCAAAAATATCACCGTCTTTTCCTTTACAAGTCGAGGACCAGATCTTGGGAGAGGGCACAGCAACGAAAGATAGACAAAGAAGAGAGATCAGCCATTTCGCAGTTGAGTACTCAAAAAATTACTGATACAACTACGCCTTGTGCAAACATAGTTGATTATTGTGCTACGTATGTTCATTCCTTATGGAATTTGGTATGGGTCCTAGTGAGGAAATATCTAATCCGGCACGAGCGAGGTACCGTGACGCACAGAATCAGCTTGTCGTCTTAGAGAAAATGTGTTCGGTCACACCTAGACCTGCTGGATTAGGAGGTAAGGGATGACTAAATTGGGTAAGATCTAACTTATCGTTCCAGTGAATGGAAGTACTAATGTTCCACCAGGAAGGGATATTGTGGGAAAAGCGTTTGAAAACAT